ATTTTTTTTCCTGATACAGAAAAAAAGTACAATATGAATCCACCACTCTTAGAAAACATGTCAAAGTGTTTTTTTTCCTGCTAAATCCACTGACTGCTTAGAGTAGCTTCAGCCAATGAGGAAATGAGAACAAATACTATGGGGCTTTTGAGACCAAATGTAACAGTATTGATGCTCAAAGCTGAAAGTTAAGGAAGCTCAAAGTTACAGAAGTGCAAACATTTGTCACAAAAGTGTTGCAGTTCCCCTATAGTATATGCATAACATTACAGTGGATGTAAATATATTTTAATCAGATATTGCCTGTTCTCACATTTGTGAAATGTCCATGAAAGAATTTTACATCCACCTGATATTTGTCAGTGTAATGTTATGCACTTGCTATATGTTAATATTTTACGCTGTTCTAATAAGGATGTGAAGAGCTACTGAAGGTAGACCAGTCTCTGTAAAGGCTGTGATGTCCTGAACAGTGTCTTGGCTTGGCCTCTTTGGCTACTCCTCCTAAGTAGTTATGCTGAAACACTGGAAGAAGTATGCTGCACCAGGAAAAGGCCAGGCCCAGGGTACTTTCCTGTAATGCTGGGGGAAATGAGGAGATTGTAACAGAGCCCCAGTTAAGCACTTTGACAGTATTTTTATTTACTGATGGTGGGAATTATTTTTTATTTGTATTACAGCTATATCAGAAAGATCTGGATCCCATTGTGCCAGGCACTGTATAAACATTGAACTGGAAAAGCTTATCATGGGATTTCCTAAGCAAGATTGTCCTTCCCTTTTATTGTTGTAGTATGTTCATTGTTTTCTAACATTTATGCAACTTTTGTTACTAGAAAAAAACAAAAGTTACTCCTCTTCTCATTAGTGTAACCCATCTTCTTTCATTACCTGGGTGTTACATTCCATGTAGAACTCACTACCTAAACTACAGGTAGTTTTCTGTTAATATATGTATGTATATTTTAATTGCATTCAACACTTGTTGCATGATCATGCCTGAGGGGTAAATTTGCTCCTATGGATTCACTATAAAAATGACCCACTTTGGTAAGTATCACTCCTGGATTTCATATTCTAAGTAAGATATCCCTGATGCAGTTTGGAACAATTTTAGCACAGGCTTTTCCAGGTTAAAATAATGAAGCGCTGATTCATGTATTGCCACTATTCCTCAGAGTAATCCCGTTAACAGTAGGGTATTCTAAACTGTTTTCTTTTTAAAGGGAAAAAAGTAACCATAAATTGGTGCTGTACTATTTAAAAGCTATGAAAAAAATCTATAGTTATGTTTCAGGTTCAATATTGTCAGCAGTAGAATAGGAGCAGAAGCTTTAATAGAAAATGTTCCTGGTTTGTAATATGGAGATCATTTTTACTAAGCTGAAATAGGAAAATCATAAAATCAATTAATCTTTTATACTGTATTATTAGAAAAAAACCTCATCGATGCTAAATCAATAACATTTAAATGTAAGAATGTGGGCTGTTTTCCAGTAGATTGTAAATTTATTTACATGTCGTATTTACATACGGGTTGCTTGGATGTAATAAATACTTAGTACATATCTAGGCTGACCTAAGAATAGGTGTTAATGTAGGACATAATATTGTAATTTAGCTCTGCTCTTAGAGCAAACAAATAGGCCTAGAACAAAGGACACTTTCTAAGTGTTCCCTTTGTCAGCATAGGAAATGTATTCTTGGAGCCAGGAACCCTTGCCAAGCCAATTAACTTTTTGCACTACAAATTCCTCATGAGCATAATTAAGACTGGAAAAAATACTTACTACCAGGGCTCATCAAAAACTTGTAATCAAAATTGGGGGATGATGGTTTGCTAAAAGTGTCTGCTTCCTGTAAAAATACTCATTTTTCATTAAAAAAAAACCCTAAATGGGGAAGCAATGTTTCAGGCAAAAAAAAAAAAAAAAAAAAAAAAATTTAAGCCAACAATTGAAATATTTCGATTATAAAATGTTGCTGTAGTGCCTCCCACTCCCATTCACCTCTGTAGGCCAGGCTTTCTTGCCAGATTTTGTGTGTCATGGCACTTGGTAAAAAAATATACACTGTATTTTAAAATAATCCATATTAGCTAATTTATGGTAAAACCCTGTCATTTGCACCTGTGTTAGCCAGCTCCGGTAAACCCTAAGAGACAAAAGCATATGACACGCCCATCCAGCCCAGGGAAGAGCCAGAACAACTGCCCTCTGCCCCAGGTCCTGCCTCTGCTCTGCCTGTGCTCCACTCCCACCCTGCCTCTTCCCCCGAATCCCTTCCCTTCAGCAATATGGCCCAGAGAGATTGAGGGGGGGGGGTCATGTACAACTGCAGCAGGGGTCTGGCCCACATGCACTCATCAGCAGTGGCAGGGGAAGTGGAGCAATGCAGCCCTAGTTTATTCTGCTTCCCTAGCCGTGTCAGTCCTCTTCCTAATGGTGGTCCTTTCCCTCCCCCTTAGTGACACACCTTAGAGCAGAGTGAGCGAGCTAGGGCTGAGTTGCTCCCTCCCCTGTTGCTGCCAGTGAGTACATGGGGGTGGACCCCTGCTGCAGGCTCCATACGCTCCCCCCACTAGTCCCCCGGAACCCCTAGGGACTCTGGCCTCGACGGCTGCGTGTCAGTCCTCTTCCTAATGGTGGTCCTTTCCCTCCCCCTTAGTGACACACCTTAGAGCAGAGTGAGCGAGCTAGGGCTGAGTTGCTCCCTCCCCTGTTGCTGCCAGTGAGTACATGGGGGTGGACCCCTGCTGCAGGCTCCATACGCTCCCCCCACTAGTCCCCCGGAACCCCTAGGGACTCTGGCCTCGACGGCTGCTGGTTGGCCCTTTGCCCCCTCCTGCCCATAGTGTGGGGGCCCCTATGTGTTGCCCCTGGAGGGACTCAATCATGGGAAGCAGTGACTCTGAAAAAGATTTGAGGTTCATAGTGTATAATCACCTGAACCTGAGCTTCTATTCCAGTACTGTGACCAAAAGAGCTAATATGATCCTTGGATGCATATATCAGGGACTCCTGAGTAGGAGTAAAGAGGTTATTTTACCTCTGTATTTGACACTGGTGCAACTTCTCTTGGAATAGTATGTCCAGTTCTGTGCCCTCAATTCAAGAAAAATGTTGATAAATTATCTAATATGCCTTGTAGCACTGGGCTCAAAGAGTTCAATCCTACTCCACTTAAGGTGCAGCAGCAGTCAAAAAAGCAAATAGACTGTTGGGAATCATTTAAAAAAGGGACAGAGAATATCTTATTGCCTCTACAGAAATCCATGGTATGCCCATATCTTGAATACTGTGTAGATGTGGTCATCTCATTTCAAAAGAGATATCTTGGTAATGGAAAAAGCTCAGAAAAGGGCAATTAAATTGACTAGGGGCTTGGAATGACTGCCATAGGAGAAGAAATTAAAAAGACTGGGACTTTTCATTTTAGAACAGAGGAGACTAAGGGGGATATGATAGAGGTCTATAAAATCAAGACTAGTGTGGAGAAAGTGAATAAGGAAAAGTTATTTATTTGTTCCCATAATATAAAAACTAGGGGGTCATATAATGAAATTAATAGGCAGCAGGTTTAAAAGAAACAAAAGGAAGTATTCCTTCATGCCACACACCTGCGGAACTCTTTGCTAGAAGATGTTGTGAAGACCAGAACTTTAACAGAGTTTGAAAAAAAACTAGATACATTCATGGAGAATAGGTCCATCAATGGCTGGATGGATAGGAATGGGTAGCGTCTGTTTGTCAGAAGCTGTGAATGAGTTACAGGGGAGGGATCACTTGACAATTATCTGTTCTGATCATTCCCTCTGAGGTACCTGGCTTTGGACACTGTTGGAGGACAGGATACTGGGCTAGAGGGACCTTTGGCCTGACCCAGAATGGCCGTTTTTGTGTTCTTATACTTAATCCAACAAAGAGAAGGTTATGGGGTCTTTTGTTTCTCTTTTAAAAGTATCTACATGGGGAATATGTATTTGATAATAGGTTTTTCAGTTTAGCAGAAAAAATATAATTGAATAGCAGCAGCTTCAAACTACAGAAATTCAGATGGAAAATAAGGCAGGCATTTTAATGGTGAGAGTAATTAACCATTTGCATAATCTACCAATGATCATGGTGGAGTCTTACATTTTTAAATCAAGATTAGAAATCTTTCTTATAGACATGTTCTAGGAATTATTTTGAGGACATTCTATGGCACGTCATACAGAAGGTTTGGCTGGATGTTCACTGCGGTTCCACCTGGCTTGGGAACTATCAGTCTATGAAGCTCTCACAATGCACTACAACCATGTAAAATGACAGAACCTTAATTTTATATTAACTAAAACCCAATTCAGTTTTGCCTAGTCCTCCTTCCCTTTTATCCTTCCATTTTTTTCTGAATATAACCCAAGTAACATATATAATTTGTGCTGTATCTAATACTTCTCCTCTTTTATTTTCTATGTCTGACTGAGTGCTGAGGATGAATTTCCTTTTCACTGAATTCCCATTTCTTTAATTACACTTCAGGTGACATATTGTTGTGCTATTCTGAACCAAAGCAGAACTAATTTAGGGACTGTATATAATTAATCAAAATAGCCAGTGCAATAACTGAAAGAACTGAATCCTGCCTGGGTTACAATAGCATTATTAGCATGTGATTAATAAGCAGTTAATGTGAACCAGCTCCTGCTACACATTTGCTAAGTTATTTCATCTTCCTTTAAAGTTACGTGGCAAAGTTTCAACCCGTAGTTAAGTGATCTGCTTTATTTGGTAATACATTGTTAAACACACCATCTGGTTAAACAGCTGATGAAATTAAAACAACCATATGGGGGCCCCATGTTTCTCTCTTGGGAAATATTTGGTCTACTGTGTTGTGTAATGATTACCAGCTTTTAAAAAAATGCTAGTCCCAAATAATACAAAGAAATTGAAGATAATCAGAACTCCATTCACTCCAGTTAGGCATAATCTAGTGTAAAAGAAAAAGACACTTACTTGAGGACCAGGTTGACCCTGAAAAATAAGAGAAAGAGAGAGAATGTTACAAAAAGGTATCACTAATCTGAATAGAACCTGACAAAAGTTTTCTGATAAGGAGGTGAACATTGCAGCAAGAAGCAATCTTCATAACATTAGATTCTGGAGTCTCCTCATTATGTTCAATGAGTGCTTGTTTGTCATAATGAACTAATCCATGGAAAATTATGACAATAATACATCAATAAAACTTCATTTAAGAAATTTCATAGTTCTACTGATCAGATTAGTGCAATTCAGAAATAATGGAAGAAAGACTTAACCAGACAGGAGTGAGGGAGAAAACACAGATATTGGATTTATTGAGATAAAAACATTGGGCTTTATTTATTTTGTTAAACCACAGTAATCATGCTTGATTCACTGGTGCAAGGAGGTTCAAACTACTGTCTACTATGTTAATGAAGGCTGCATGTTGGGGGAGCACACGTATCAGGCAGGTCTACAAGGTCTATTCACGCCTGCCTAAGGAGCATAGGTTTAAACTGAGGTTGCAGTACCACAGGATTCCTGACAGCAGAGGTTTCTTGTGGATACATGATTCAATGCATCTCCTGTCTATATCCTCCCTGACATGCAATCTGCTCCTTCACGGACTTTTTTGAGGCAGTGCTGATCTGGTCAGCTGAGCCCCGGGACAGACTGAGGACTTACAGGAATCCTGTGCTGTTACAATCCCTTTCTGGATGTACTTTCTGCCATAAGGGCCCCTGTATCTTGGGTTCCCCTGGAAAAATTTAGCAAGTTCCATGGGTAAATGTGAAGAGGAAATGTATTATGGTACAATATAGTAAGTGTGATTGTGAACTACAACCTCACAGAGGATCAAATCACATTGGAAGACAAAGAGGAACTTTTACAAGGAGACAAATGTTGGAGCTTTTTGAACTAGCTAAGATATTGGCTTTTCTAGTAACTCAATAATATTCTAGTTTAGTGAGAAAAACCTTTCCTTTTGTTGAATGTAACTGTGCCTAAAGACATTTTTAAAGGAACTAAAAAATGTCTTCACTTTATCTGGATATTGTAATTCTTAAAATGGGTTTAAAGGTTTATATGACCTCTAACCAACTTGATCTGTCCTTAACCATTTTTTTCTCCAGAATGATAAAGAGCATAATCAAGATGCTTTCTACTCGCAAACAAATGTTCTGAACCATGTCACTTTTTGCTTAAAGTTGGTCAGGTTTTATTACACTAAATACAGAAGAAAATGTCCCTTTGAGTTACAATAAGTATTTGTAATCTGAATTCTATGATCACCAAATAGTACTAGAATATTACATACCTATCACAGTCAAAGTATAGTAAAATTGTAGTAATCACACAAGCACTGAATGAGAACTACAAACTCCCATCACTCGGGATGTGGTTGGCATTTTATATTCCTTCTTTCTGAAGAGTGAGTTTCAAAACCAGCCACTTTTGAAGATTTTCAAGCTTCATTTTTAGGGCCAAAACAATATTTAAAGTTGTTAAACTGTTGTAATGTAAAATAATGCTTCTAAATTTGTCAACTCTGGGGCTGATATATCAGACTAGGTTAATCCAAGGCGATGAAAAGAATTACCCAAGTCTCATGGATTTTCCAAAAGCCTATACTTCATCCCACTTAGCTGTAACAATTTTAAAGTTAGTGACACTTCAGATGTACATGCTGGTCCCAATCCTAAAATCAATGAGAATTTTGCCTAGTAATGACTGCAGGACTGAGCCCACTATAGATAAACCAAATCTGGAACAATACCAACACACATATATACACAGATTCACAAACACATGTAAAGCCATAGCATATTCTGAAATATCTGAAAGCTATAGCATATTCTGAAATATTATAAAAGACTATATTTTGACTTCAACTGACCTAAGAAGGAAGTCAAGGCAGATTTTCAAAGTCAGTTGTACACATTTGTGAGTACCTACCACTGAGTTGCATACAAATGTCCATACTAGAGATGTGAAAGGTTAACTGATAAGCATCACCCTTAACAGGTGATGCTTACTGGTTCCGTTTAACCAGTGGGGGCCGGAGCAGCTTGTTTCAACTGCTGATGGTGTTTTCAGCACTGAGTCATCTAGCTGTACTGGGAACAGATTTAATTGATCCAGTGCTTCAATTAGGATTGACAGTCAACGCACTATGTGTGGAATTGTGGCAAAATTCCCACTGACTCTATGGGATCAAGATTTCACCCTACAACTTCCAACATTGCTCAGACAGCTGATTTGAACTGGGGTTGGTGATAGTGGGAAATTTTTCAAATACAAATTTCAAATTTAAATTTCAAACACAAAATACAAATTTCAAATTTTTCAAATAGTCTGCATAGGATACTTGCCTGGCAGGTGGGAGACCCAGGGATCAGTCCCTCTGTTCCAATCACTCTAGTTATTTATCCACAGTGGAACAGCTTCAACAGAAGAGACTGACGAAGCTCCTTATCAGAGTATTCCCTAGTTGAGAAGTAGGAACCCTCCTCTCAGCAGTATGGGAAACTTCTTTTCAATTCTTTTCCTCCGTCTCCAACAGAGGGCGAATTGAATCTTGGACTCTCACATGCCAAATGAGCATTCTAACCACTGGTGTCATTAGAGGAAGTTTTGGAACAAATTGATAAATTTAAGAGTAACAATTCACTGGGACCAGATGGCAGACATCCAAGAGTTCTGAAAGAACTCAAATGGGAAATTGCAGAACTATTAACTGTGGTTTGTAACCTATTCTTTAAATCAGCTTCTGTACCTAACAATTAGAAGATAGCTAACATGATGCCAATATTTAAAAGGGGCTCTAGAGCTGATCCTGGCAATTACAGACCTGTAAGTCTAACGTCAGTACTGGGCAAATTAGTTACTTGAAACTATAGTTAAAGAATAAAATTGTCAGACACTTGGATGAATAGAATTTGTTGGGGGAAAGTCAACATGTTTTCTGTAAAGGGAAATCATGTCTTAGTAATCTGCTAGAGTTCTTTGAGGGGGTCGTCAAACATGCGGACAAGGGGGATCCAGTGGATACAGTATACTTAAATTTCTAGAAAGCCTTTGACGAGGTCCCTAGGGAATCATGCTTTACTAATCTGGTAGAGTTCTTTGAGGGGGTCAACAAACATGTGGACAAGGGGGATCCAGTGTAATAGTATACTTAGCCTTTGACAAGGTCCCTCACCAAAGGCTTTTAAGTAAAGTAAGTTGTCATGGGATAAGAGGGAAGATTCTTTCATGGATTGATAACTAGTTAAAAGACAGGACACAAAGTGTAGGAATAAATGGTAAGTTTTCTGAGTGGAGAGAGGTAACTAGTGGGGTCCCCCAAGAGTCTGTCCTGGGACCCATCCTATTCAACTTATTTATACATGATCTATAGAAAGGGGTAAACAGTGAGGTGGCAAAATTTGCAGATGATATTAAACTGTTCAAGATACTTAGGACCAAAGCAGACTGTGAAGAGCTTCAGAAAGATCACACCAAACGCAGTTTTGATTGGGCAACAAAATGGCAAATGAAATTTAATGTTGATAAATGTAAAGTAATGCACATAGGAAAAAAATCCAACTATTTATACAATATGATGGGGACTAATTTGGCTACAACTATTCAAGAGAAAGATCTTGGAGTCATTGTGGATAGTTCTCTGAAAACATCCACTCGGTGTGCAGTGGCAGTCAAAAAAGCAAACAGAATGTTAGGAGTCATTTAAAAAGGGATAGAGAATAAGATAGAAAATATCTTATTGCCTCTATATAAAACCATGGTACTCCACATCTTGAATACTGCGTACAGATGTGGTCGCCTCATCCCCAAAAAAGACATATTGGCATTGGAAAAGGTTCAGAAAAGGGCAATAAAAGTGATTACGGATTTGGAATGGGTCCTATATGAAAAGAGATTAAAAAGACTTTGACTTTTCAGATTAGAAAAGAGGAGACTAAGGGGGGATATGATAGAAGTCTATAAAATCATGACTGGCATGGAAAAAGAGAATAAGGAACAGTTATTTACTTGTTCCCATAACAAGAAATAAGGGTCACCAAATGAAATTAATAGGTAGCAGTTAAACCAAACAAAAGGAAGCACACGGTCAGCCTGTGGAACTCCTTTCCAGATGAAGTTGTGAAGACGAGGACTTTAACAGTATTCAAAAAAGAACTAGATAAATTCATGAAGGTTATTCAGGATGGGTAGGAATGGTATCCCTAGCCTCTGTTTCTCTGGAGGTGGGTGACAGGGAAGGCACAGCGTCAGGATTGCCTGTTGTGATACCTCCCTGTGGGGCATCTGGTATCGGCCACTGTCAGCAGACAGGGTAATGGGCTAGATGGACCTTTGGTCTGACCCAGTATGTCCATTCTTACATTCACTGTGCTATAAGTTACAAGATGTCTCCTCAGTTGTAAATAGGACACAACTGGATAGGCACCTCTGCCCCACAAGCAGGCCCCACAAGCAAAATCCGATCGTTGCAGGTTCATCAATTGATCTGGGGCTTAGGCAGGAGAGTCTTGTGCAGAGGAGGAGAATAATCTTTGATGTGGGGCCAAGATTTTCAAAAGTGGTCGAGGGCCACACTCTTCCATGATATTAATGGAGGAGGTGTGGGGTCTGGGATGGAGGTTAGGTGCAGAAGGGAGCTTGATGTAAGGGATGGGGTGAACGAGGGCCTGTGAAGTCTGGGAGGGAGTTTGGGTGAAGGAGGCAGTGGACTGGTATGCGGGAGTCTGGATTGTGACTTAAGGCAGGAAGGGGTTGTGACCTAGGGCAGGGGATTGCAGTGCAGGGGTTTGGGTTGTGACCTAGGACAGGAGTAGATTGCAACCTGGAACAAGGGATTTGGGTGCAGGGTCTAGGAGGGATCTAGACTCAGGAAGGGGGCAGAGGGTTTGGATTATGTGGGGTTGGGGGAAGGCAGGGGCTGGGGCTGGGGTATTAGAGGCAGGCTCTGGCTGGGTGACTCCCAGGAAGTAGGCCAGTAT